AGTTGTGGGCGTTTCATCCAACCCTTAGTCCGATATACCCCTAGCGTATACCCATTCCCTTCTGTAGGCGAGCAGCCTCACTGCAGACTAACCTAGTCTACACGATGGCACATACTAAACGCATGAAGGCGCTTGCGCTGCTTCGATCCGGCTCTTTAGGATTCTTATCATCTCCTTGGTCGTTCTAGGAATCGACGTGCATATCAGAAATTTCATCACCGACCAAACTATGATAAATTAAATAAAGAGAGAAATGCCAGAGTCGAAATGTTTTCCACTGTTCTACTCACGATACCGCAATATCGCAAGGTATGATTATGCTCAACACTTTACTGGCATTAAACATTAACGAGACGGTTAATATTTGAAGGAGTAGATCCGTTAATAAAATGCGTTACTCTAGCTTCTGCCAAGCGTAAGATCTAGCATCAGTAGCAGGAAAATGATGATAACAGGTACGTAGATTGCAGAGCTATAACCCTGCATGAACATTCTGCGTACCTACTTATCGTTTGGAGAAACTATTCTGCCTTCCTTTCTATACCTTCCAGTACCCGAGAAGCCACAGCGGTACAACTTGGCCGTTATTTACAGCTTCTTGGCATGGAGCAGTTCTCTCCAAGCCGAGCTCTACCAGCAAGAAGGAAGTAAGGATGATTTATATCCGCTGCTACCAGTCCTGCTCCCTACCCGCGATAATACCAATCATTATCATCACTTAATAACAGGCATTACTGCCAACATTGAAATAATGTGTGTACCCCAACCTGACTCGCTGACTGCCTAACCCATTCCATATCTATACTCTCTCTTCCTTCCTTCCTTCCTTTCTTCCTTCTCTCTTCTCCTTCTTCCTCCATTTTCTTCAAATATTCCCTTATTTTTCACAAATCTAAATTTTTCTCTCAAACAAATACTGATAAGATGCTGATAAGATCAAAATCTAGACATCTTTTTCACTGGAAAAGGTTTTTATTTTCCAAGAATTAATATCTCCATTTTCGCACTTTTCATTTGAAACGTGGTACGTTGCAATGTTGTCGGTGTATTTTGCACTTTTCTCTCATTCCAGTGCCAGCAAACATGGCAGAAAAGCACGCGAACTCGCAGTACTATAGTGGCGTACCTGCTTATTATCGCGTAACCTATATTATTTCAAGCGTGTGTATACCTTGTTACAATGAAGGATATAGGAGTGGTATTCCGGTAGCCAGAAGCTTGAGAAAAGGATCTTCAAAGAGACTCGCCGAGCCTCTTATTTCTTAGAAAACAATATTCCAGTTACTTGCCATAAGAACGGCAAAAAGTTTGCTAAACTATTTGAAGCGAGGTGAAAGATGCACAACTCTTGCCTATTACGCATCATTATAAATATTGGCCTTTGATATGAATATATTGGTGTCCTTACTGTAAACAAAAAGTGATGGACACTCTATAGTTTCACAAGTGTTCATCACTTTTTGTTTACTTTTTTTCACTATTTTTATAGAATTGACTTGAGGGATATTAAGTGATTCTGAATAGTTCAGCGTCACAATATTTAATTTTTAAAATGAAGCTTTAAATTGAAATGTGCTCCAACAATCATAAGTGCATAATAGATTTGACTAATTGTAAGCATACCATATACTTCTCTATTGTTTGAAATCACAACGCCTACATATCAAACTATACTCTTGCATTTGCTTTTCATGCCGACTACGTTTATTGGTTATCCGCAAACTTCGTGCTAGAAACCTTTGGTCGCAGTTCTATAATTATCTAACGATAAGTCGAACGTGAATGGCATATGCGGTACAGTAGGCGTCAAGTTTCATTCTACAAAAGTAAAGTATATATTAAAAAGGGTCAATGAAAATAAGAACTATAGATCTGTAACTTTTCTACAACAAGCCACTTGGATCGTAAGGAGATACAACTTATTTATTTATTTATTTATACGCCATGCATATAAACAAATGCACTCTCTGAATTTGAATCAGCCGAAAATACCTAATTTTAAGTATAGTTCAAACATGTGGATGAATAAATCAAATGCATGCCTATATAGCCTCTAATTATACAGTGACAATCGTAGATGTGTATATTTAATTTAAATAGACGATCCTCTAGGTATTTACTAACATAAGAAACAAAAAATATAAAGTTTAGAATTATAGACACACGTACATGTGACATTAACTTAAAATAGAAGAAAAATAAATAAGTTGGCAAACTGTGCGACTTTTGAATCGCGTGCTAGAGTGTAAAAGTTGTGATCCATTTGTAAACTGATAGATGACAGTTAGTAGATATATAATCCGATAGTGACACGTCATGTCGGTCCAAGTTTTATTCTTTTTTATTATTCGACGATGATAATGGTTCGAGGTTTGTGCATTATTTGCAATCGAATAATGGTACGGAACCAACAACAGTTAGTCATCCCTATCTGCGGACACGCACGAACTGGTCAACGCCAATGAGATAATAGGCCGATAAGTCGGTTCAATGCCGGTTAGTTGGCTGGAAAAACTAGACGACTAATCGCTCGTTCGACATGTTTAAGGTTACTTTGACACATAATGTCACTTTCCACGTTCTTGCAGTAGATATTATTTATTTCAAGCTCTTACTTTTTTTATAGCCACGGAACGATCCCACAATTAATTTACAACATTCAAGTGCGAATTTATTAAAAAAACTTCCCTTTTTAATTAATCGACCAATCTTGTAATTTTAAAACGAATTTTATTATTAGAAGAAAGAAGAATAAAGAAGAAAAAATAAAAGTTCAGAGTACATTTATTCTTTAAGGGTCTACTTTTATCGATCAATGACTTGTAGACATATTAGATGAGTTTGGGTATAAATAACTATACCTATCTGTGCAAGCGTATACTTTTAACCGTGTTACAGACATACTGGTCGGATCACCACGAAATCATCTGATCAAAGAACGTGATCTGAATAAGCCGCTGATTTCTGAGATGCAATCGAAACTTGTCTCTCCAAGTGCTGCCGTCCTTCTCGTGATAAGAGGGCACTACTGGGAGAAACGAGTCTTATGTCGGTGAATATGAACTCACACATGTATGAATTTTTATATGTTTAAATAAATAAATTTAAGTATGTATGTAACATTATGTTGGTTCTCATGTGAATATTTCAAGACAAGGACATGTTACTTATGAGAATATGTCGCACGCACCTGAGTTTCGCGCAGAAGCACCCTTATAAATGCATTCATGCAAAAGTAATACTTAACCATATGTCCATCTACACCAGTGCACGTCGCGACCCTTGCCACATTTGCAAGAAAGGGGCACGTTACCAATACAGGTCTTTCCACGAAATAGGCATCGCGTGTATTGCGAGTGAAGAAGAGCAGTCCATTGGGAACTTGAATGTAATTACGGGAAAAAGGAACAAATGTCCCACAAAATAGTTTACAACCACACGAAATTATTGACATATATTTTGAAAGCATCTTTTGATTTCAATCACTAAATGTAAAGTATACTTAAAGAATACGAGTTAAAGTGAATAATTAATCCCATAATCTTTTTACGCCACTCTGTTAATAAGTTTTTAATAACAAGAAACTTTTTGATGGCGTGGACATTTTTTCAAAGTCCAAAATATAAATTCCAACATTGATAAAAGACGAGAAAAAGGTTATACCACGCCCAAAGTACATCGCGTGCATGAAAGTATGAAATACATACCCTCTTGCTATGTGTTCTTTGCCAGCATAAGACCGCTACCTTATCCAAGAGAAGAGAAGAAGCCTCGAGGAAAAAGAGATACCTATATAGTCTCCTGTCTTGCTCTGTAATACTTCTAACTCCCCTTTTGCTCGCTGCCTTTCTTTTTCATTTCCTCCTTTTTCTTTCTTCTCATCTTCTCACAACAACTTATAAAGCAACAGCGAAAAGGAAGTGAGAGACACGAACGATGCGAGGTATATAAGCTGATGGAAGATTGCGCCACGATAGTCGCGATGACAAGAAATTCGAGACGGTAGCACATTCACAAGTATACATTGCAAAATTATAGATTGGAAACTCCTAATCAGAAGGTCTCGATACTGTGCAGAATATTTTATTATAATAGACTTCGTTAATGCTCCTGCTGAGTTGTCGCACTCTGTGGGGTTCCAGAACTAATGAAATTATCCGGCCTGGAACCCTGTGCGCTATCAATAATCGCAGACTATCAGTTAACTGACCATTATGTTGCACAGTTATCGTGTCGCGCACATCACTTAAGTGCGACTAACTATACGTCAAGATTACAATTAATCTCATCGAGCTGAAAGACAAATAGAGTAGAGTGTCAGCGATTATAGTTTAATTAATAACACTGAGAGAGACTGAATTTTCAATTTCATTTCCACACGCAGTCGTACAGATTTAATGTTAATTATGAGTTTACAGAAAATTAACGAAACGATTGCCTCTTTTCAACTCGTCGATGCCCCGGCAATTTAAGCTGCTTAAGCTCAAGAGGCACTCTGCAATTAGCGGTCGTCGGGATAATTACCGAGTGACTTGCTTCCATAAATTGTGAACCGGAAACCATAGCAAGTGAGGGTGACGATTCAGAAAGTTTAGGTTAATAGTAGTAGTTTTGGGAAAAACTCGTGTATCCAACGAACAGAAAATTCACCGTTGAAAGGGCAAAAGAGGTTCTTGCAAGAAAATTTATGACCATCTCGTTAACTCGCGCTCTGCACTCACAATGCACTGGACACTGAGGCAACCCTATCCACGATGTCCAGGGCGTGGCAAATCAGTGATTTAGTAAAGTCATTTGTGCCGATAAAGCAGACAGATGCTGTCCTCTAAAGATCCAGTTACCCAACGACATCGCGCACAAACGTAATCTGAGCATCTATCGAGTCGCGTTTCAACTAATTTCACATCGCCAATGATCTATTGTCTTCTTCGAATTTCATGTCATTTCGTCTAACATTTTAACGATCACGTGGGAATTATTAATTGAAATGAAAAACTCACCTGTGTTTGCGTCAAACCCAAACTGGCTGCGAGTTCCGCTCGTTCTGGTAGTGCCAAATACTGCGTTCTTTGAAATCGCCTATTCAGTTGTTGAAGCTGAAGACTGCTGTAGATAGTTCTTGGCTTTCTCATCTTCTTTCCTTTGCCATTCCTAAGGGATCCACCGCCACCGCCTCCTAATTCGTCTACGAGGCTTCCGCCCTTATCACCCAAAGGCGAGAGGTCTGTGAACATACACCACCCTAATATCAACTTTCAGAATCCTCTTAACAAGGAATGTAAGAACTAAGGAAAAACTAACAAAAACCTCAAAAGAGAAAATTAAATTCAACAATGAAACTTAATTACTTTTAAATTAAACAAAGGTCATCGTACTAAAAGTATTGAAAATAGTTTCCCCTTCAATTTTCCTGTATTTTCACAATTTCTTACTTTCAAGTGTACTGACAAGTGTATTGCATTAACAGAAATTTAATTTAGATCAAGAAATGAAAGCTTTAACTAAAGTCGAAAATTACTTTCAATACTTTTACTGTGACATCCTTCAAAAATAATTCTATATAAAAAAATTAATTTCGAATAAATTAATAATACCGGTTTTTAAAAGAAATCATTAAAGTTTTAATCAAATTAAAAATGTCTCTCATCATATTTGTCTACCTTTTGATAAATATTTTTAATTAGCTTAAAGGGGGCATATTTTTTATATTATTCACGGAAAAAACCTTCTCCTGAGATTTTATAATTATGCAATTGTTTTCCACTTCGCCTTTCATCTTCGATAGTTTTTTCTCAAAAATTTTTAAAATATCAATTTGACAGTTCTTAAACTATAGTGAATTAGGTATGTGCCTAAAAAATTAATCGTAAGAACTGCCAAATAGACATTTTTCAAATTTCTGAGCAAAAAGAATTGAAGGTATATTAAATAAAATAATTAAAAACTCCGTTGTTATATAGTGAAATTTGTAGTTGTTCCAGGTAAAATATTTTTCCGATTGTTAAAAATATCGGATTACAACTTTTTTATATAACAAAATATATAAATATTCATAACTCTGAACGCAATCATTTGATATTAAAATATAGCTTTAGAGCCTGTTTACACCGCGTCGCATAAATGTATTCCTCCGCGCGCATAAACGTATATTCCTCCAGGAGAATAAACTCGCGTCTGCGCAAAGTGCTTCCCAGCGGTTTCTAACTCTTCACAACACAGCTGGGAAGCACTTTGCGCAGACGCGAGTTTATTCTCCTGGAGGAATATACGTTTATGCGCGCGGAGGAATACATTTATGCGACGCGGTGTAAACAGGCTCATAGTACAGAAAATAATAAAGCTAATTCGTATAAGCTTTTACTAGACTTGATTATTGAAAAGTTTTAATATCATCGCCTGATATAATTACGTGGAAGTTCTGAAAAACTTTATAATTAGTGTTTGCATACTTGTAAAATAAAGTAACTGTTGTATTAAAGTACTACAAGTGCAATATTAATGAAATAATAAATAGCAATATTGTGTCGTAAATATAGACTATGTCGTCCACTAAACCAATAACAAGTGACCGCAGCGGACCAATTATAATTATAATAAGTATTAAAAAATTGACAAAAAAGAAAAAATTAAAGGTTAGAGAATCTTAATTTTGAAATAAAAGTAAATAACATACATTAAAAAGAAAGTAATCTACTGAATTGTAATTTTGTTATTCTCACAGTAAAATAGGTATTAAAAAATGTTGTAGCTAAGTTAACACCAAAAATGATTAAAATAATGCACTTTTCAATTAAATTTTTCTACAACAAAAACAAGTTTTTAAATATAAACCAATTCGTAATCATTTTTAAGAAATATTTTCCTAAAGTTTTGAACCTTCATATGAACGAAATATTTCCCATTAAAATAATATTTTCAAAAATTAACTGATTGTAACAATAAGTAAAATCTTAAATTTAACATTTAGAAACTTTATAATTTATTTTTTATAAGTGTCACAAAATTATTGTAATCAAATTTTAATTTCAAAATATAAATTAATTTCGTTCATTTGAACGTTCAGAACTTTAGAAATACATTCTTGTAATAGGTTTAAAAATTACAAGACTGAAATGAAAAACACTGCAATTAAACATTTATGTAATAAAATTCGAGTTAAAAGAAGTAAAAAATTGTTCACTTGAACGTTAAAAACTTATTTTAATCCATTTTGGTGCCCTAACGAAAAAAATTTGCCAATTTTAATAAAATGAAAAAAAATATTGATGTTTGTATAAGTTGAAAAAATTTTTTTTAGTAAAAAATACTTTTCCTGCTAAAATAATATTACTTTCTTGTGAGAGTAGCTGATTTGTTTTTTATGAAATAATTAACTTAATACTCGAAAACATATAGATAAATATAAGTAATATATGTATACATATGAACCCAAGTTTAAATTATGTTCACTTAAATCGTTAGCTCCAACATTTATTACGTACTTTCACACTTGAGGCCACACATACGTCATAGGCTCTACGTGATTTAATTGACTTACTAATTAACCACCGCTCATCGTGACATTAGCTAAAGTAATTATTGAAATTATAACATTGTTCCCTTCAACTCCCGTCGCGTCGGTGAAATAAACTTGTTTGAACAATAAACTATCATTGGAAGAATCGATAGAAATTTGTCTTTACATGCAACCTAAAGTCAATCTGTGTAAACGATATACTTAATTACTATCGTTTCGCGATTCGAGCTTGAATTTATAAATTCAGTATACATCTGACCGGAAAGCATAATAACTTATCATCACGCGGGCAGTCACTATAAACATTATACTGTGTCATTAGAACCACTGTCATTACACTTATATTCTTTAATGTATGACATTATTGTCGTAAGTCGAGAATTAGGCAGGGTGTACATTACAACATGATTATTATATACCAAATACAATACATTTCATCCTTGTTCATTGGCAGGACAATTATTTTCAAACAGAAACTTGGTAAATACTTGAGAAAAATAAACATCAAAAGAAAGAAGAAGAAACTTTTTAAGAAATCTTTGCTTTTTACAAACATGCGCTGAAAAATAAATGTTCATAAGTTGTAAGGGTCTGAATTAATAATATATTTTAGGAATTAGGATTTTTGATTGCTAAGAATTGAATGTGCATATATTTTCCCTGCACATGTTATTTATATAAGGAACGTTCTATTTTCGTGAGAGGAAAAAGCTACCTGCTTTTTTGGAAAAAGTAAAAATTTTATCGAGAGAAGAATCTGTAAAAAAACACGACTTCCGAAGAAATCCTCGCACGATGATTCGATCCGACTTAAGATACTACATCTCGAGGAGATTTAAAATTCTTGAGATGAAGAGTTCTTTAAGATTAGAGCATGGTGGAGAGCCTAATCCTTGTGAAAATAACAACCTTTTAATACCTAATCCATCACAGTGGCATACCAGGAGCAGTGGACGCTTCTCACTGCTCCTCACCGTCGTTGCGCACGGGTCCAGCCGAAAGCCCTCAGTGACTAATGTCCCGCTGGTTCCAACCAGGACCTCAGGTACCTGCTAATTGGATTTTCTTCCGCGAGTCCGATTCGAATCGCCTCAAGATGTCGGACAACAAGAACGTGCCGATAATAAGCGCTCGGTCGGTTTGTCGCACCGATAAGATTGGTCACCGATATACCACCTACGGTGCTACTGAATTTGATGTCGACGATTGTTGAAGGAACAAGACGAATCTAACGACCCATCAACACGAAATAAACAAGCCATGGATAGGTGGACCCTCCATTTTTTCGCCATTAATAAATCTCACTCTAAAGACGAGCGCGCCTTTCGTGTTTCAACGACATTTCCCGCCGACCTTTATGCTAGACGTTTCATTCTGATACCGCGATTAACTTTCTTGTGCCAAGAATTTTTTTTCAAGTCTAACTTTTAGTCTCTCGCTACCATACTGAGAGATGCAGTGATGATTAGACAGTAAACTTTCTCAAGTTTTTAATCGACGACAAGAATCTTAAATAATTATCAAGACTAAACGCTTTTAATTTAGGGGTTAGTAAATGCCTTTTAATTTTAACAAATACTCGCTATTTCAAAATTTGGATTTTCAACCATAAAAAAAGCATAAAATATTTTTAATTAGTGACACTGGAAATGTTGTATACGGCAATTGTTACAGAGTGAAACTATTTCGAAAAATTTCAAATATCTAAATTACTAAATAATAACGGTGACAGAAAGATGATGGAGAATCATAAAAAATTTAGTTACATGTATATTGACTCGATCACGCCACTCTGGGTGTAACTCTTTGTAAGTATTGACGTTGTCATTAGGGGAGCTACACCCTTTACGCATTAAGAAATACTAGATGAATTTCCCCTCTATCATTTCAAACACTCGCGACGAACTGAAAAAAACCAAGTTACCCCACAGCTATACGGCAGCAAAACACTCATATTTTATTGATTGAATTCATCAACCTTTAAGTAGTGACCACCTGCTTAATATCGTTTTTTTACTTTTCTTCTTATTTGAACAAATATTCCAATATTAACATTAAACAGAATCAATGCGACACTTTTCAGTGTTTTTTAAATAAACTATTTTCTCAAAACAGTAAAACATTTTTATAAATTAATTTTTTGAATCCTAAATTTTGAAATATATTCAATTGCACCAGTCAAGTTTTGGCATAATGAAAAAAGAGTACAGTTTTTGTCCAGACTCATCACCAAAATGTCACTTATAAGTTCGTATGTTTTCCCATTATAAAGTATAGTACAACTTAAAGGATATACAAACAATAGCGTGTTTGGTAGCAATTAAGCAAATTACGATCATAACACGATATTTATTATTTAATTAATTATCAACCGAATATGTAGGTGCTGATGACTTTATTACCCCTAGAATATAATCGGATACAATATAGTTATAGGTATAACAATCGACTTTAGTCTCTGTAGACCTCTGGTAAAGCATAAATCTTGCTCTAATCTGGTTTTTCCTTCATGCTTTTTATGACAGTCACAATTGCCACATTATAATAATTGCTAACATTGACAAAAGTAGTTTAGGTGTACAATTCATCTAACTATGGTAAAAGTTATATATACCTTTAATAACTGTTTCAACCAATTACACTCGAAAATAAATATACTCTAGGTATGTTCATTATATTATCTAATTCTCCTCACATATGATATTGTGAATAAATGAATTTTCAAAGTTAACAACAAAAATTGGATTCGTATACTCTGCAGAAGAATCTACTCAATTTTAAAGCAACTTTGAATATAATTTTGTACTTTGTTTGAAAAATTTACAACATTTTAATGGAGATGTATTCTCTACAAATAACACGAATATGATAAATTTAAAGTCCACAAACTTTTTAAGAGCGAAAACTAAAAAATAATGCGGTGATTTATTTTATTTTAACTTCACGATTCACAAGTTTTCAACGTTCGAATAAACAAAATATTAAAAATATTTCCATGAATTCATTCATAATAATTATTATTAAGAAAAATAAGAATTTAAAATATAAATTGAGAAATTTAATATAAAGAAGAAATAAATAAATTGTATTTAGTTAAACTTTCAGAATTTTAAATCAGTTGGCTTCAAACTATTTTTTGAGCAATTGTCTTTTGAGCATAACAAATAATTTCTTAAACGCACATAAAAGAAGAGATGAATTTAACTTGAAAAAAATCGCTTTTATTTTTCCTTTTTAAAAACGTACGGACATTGAATATAAATTTTGTAAATGGTTATCCAAGTAGATAAAAAGTATTGTATATTGGGGTAGAACGAATTGGTTAATGCAACTACAAATTTTTCCTTTGGTATAGGAAAAATCTGAAAACAACTATTAAATCAAATTTTCCCCCACAAAAGAAAATTAAAAGTAGTTATATAAGAATCGCAATAACAGGCAATTGCTTTGGCAGGGAACCCTTTTCAGTCCTAATCTAAAATTCATAGAAGAACAACTTCAACTTATAGAACGAAATTACCCTCACGTTTCTGCAGATTCAGATTTCCTATCGTAAGGTCTCTTGAACAAGTTGAAATGTAATAATTTCTTCAACAAGAAATATTCAAGTCACTTGTGGACAAACTCCTCGTGTTATTATGTATTGGAAATTGTGTAGGGGTTATACGAGGGATAGAGAAAGAAATAAAAGTTTGCGGAAAACATCATCATGTAAGGCAAGTTACAAACTGCGGTAATAACTTCTAACTGCAATTTGTTGAAAAAAGAACGTTCTTACTATTAATTTTCAACATTGTTACTTTCATTTTTCATATATATAAAGTATTACAACAATGTTAAAAAAACTAAAATGTATTGCAATTAAATGATTGTTATTATTTTTCTCAATTCTAAAATAAACATTAGAGTCGAAAGTCTATGAAGAAGGAATTTGTGGTTCATCCATCTCGGTTTTAATTACTTCATTCATAGCATTGGGGGTCTTTTAGGAGAATCCGAACTGGGCCTCGTATATCTTGCTTTCATTAAAGCATTCTGCTCTGTGAACCTGACCAACAACCGGCATTGACTGCTACCTGCTACTCCAGATTCCGTTTTCTACATTCATTGTGGTCTTTCTGGCCTCTTCAATCTGTCACCCTCAAATTAGCATAGAGGAAGCGATAAAAATTTACTGCCTGCTTCCAAAACTCACACTCCAAAACTACTTTCTACTCGCAGCTAAGGTCGGAGTGACCATTCCAGCATGCTATTATTAAGAGAGTCAAGCTTTTTTTCAAAGTTTTACGGTATAATCAACTTGTTATTTATAACAGAGCTCTTCGGAGAAAAAAGACAATCAATTAATGCTACAATTTCATTTAGGAATGTTTGGGGTGATGTAAAATATACTTTGCAAAACCACCATTGACCTTTATGTCAATAAAATAGAAAGATAATGTAAAATGATAGCAAGATTGAATGCGAATAAAAAGCTATGAATATACAGTATGTTTTTTTAACGCGCGGACGCAGCTTATAGCCACCATGTATCGATCTCGAGACGTAGAATAAACGGACGAAATACCTTGGTACCGTCAGACACGCTGTCACCGCGCGTCGTGAGAGCTTTCTTTAAAGTTTCCCCTTATTCGGCAGCACTACTGGTTTTACTTGCAACTAAGATAAGAATTTCTCAAGGTTCTTATTAGTACAGTTAATACTAAAAATTTTTAATAAACCCGAGTAACTTTCAACTGAGTAAACTGCTTTTACGACAAAAAGTATTAAATAAAAATTAAATTTACTTACACATGTTTCTATCGAACATGAGTTATTTTGCTAATAGAATATAATTTGTTTTAATGCGTTTGGTCAATTTATTTCAAGATGTAATTAGGTTTTTGTAAGTTAATCTTCTTGTATATAAATATAAATGTCTATTGAAACAATCTTCATGTGTTAATGTTGAAATAATCATATTTTTAAATGTATTATTGTTTTAAATAATTTTAGCTAGATATCGTCAAGTTTGGCTTTTGCTGAAAATGTATTGTTGACGTTCTTACTGCGGTTGAGTATCATTACAATTTATTGAAGCGGTACTCAAATATTAAAAGGAAAAAGAGAGCTTTATGGAAAGTTTTGCACAAGTCATATATATTTATATATACAGTAGTTAATGTAGTATAACAATAGTAAAAAAAGCTGCGAATACATACAGTTGGGGTACTCACCGTCCTTGGGCGGTGAGGGACATTGGGGAGCGTACGATCCCAGGTGATATCCATAGGCGTTGTGCTGATGCATGGGCGCGAACGGATATCCGGCTAGGGCCGACCTAGGACTGGGGAATCCGGCATCAGCATGCTGTTGATTGCCACTGCCGGGTCCCGAGCCCTGATGTCCGAGCGAACTGACTTGGTGAGAAAACTGATGTGCACTGGGGACATTGTGGCTTCCGGGATATCCGCCGCGGAGGCCGGCGGGATTGTACAGGTTATTGTGCTGAAGTTCGATAAATGCGGACTTGCCGCTTTGGGAGACTGGGGTGCTGGAGGCACTGTCGCCGCCGGTGCCCCCGGGTGGCCCGGGTGTCACCGAACCTAGACCCGAATGATGCAGGTGCTGCTCCATGTCGGACCCGCCGCCGCCTCCACCACTGCCTCCTCCACCGCCCCCGGTTCCGCCGCCTCCTCCGCCCGACGGACCGCCACCCGACATGCTGTTCGGGGTCGGGGTACTCGACGGACAGGGGTCGCCCGCCCCGAATGGGCTCCCCAGGTCCGTGAAGTTGAGCGTCGTCGTGCTGCCCGGACGCTCCACCTTAGACGCGACAAAGTCGCACCCAGCCACCCGCGCCTCGCCTCCAAAGTCCTCCACACGCCACGGGGCCCGAATCTTGGGGCCAGGTATCCGCTCAGGTCAGCGGGCACTTTACTGAGTCCGATGACAACATGTGGGACAGCCTTCCACTACACACACGACAACCGACAACTGCAACTTCTTCTCAATTTCAAATTTCACCTCAATTTTCAATTAAGTAAATCTTAATTCCCGGAATTCAATACTGAATTCAATACTGCTTGTCAGGGAGCACTACAAACACCGTCCACACTTAACACACGCGTTGCGTCGCTTCGCATTCGTTCACTCCAGGATGATGATCCTCCAACATCCAGAAACTCAGCCTGCGACAAGTTTCTTCCAATGCAGCGACAATCTACTCACTAGTGTCTGATTATAATCGCCAGTAACTACTTGCAATGCGCAGGGCCACTAACTCGGTACACGAAATTTCGACTATCAGACTGACTATCCGCATGATTGATCATTGACTAGACCAAAACTGTGCATCAATCGTTCCCGACCAAACATCATTGTACTAAGTGGTACACACATCCGTAATCACTTTTCTGCTGATATCCGACGGAAAATTCCTGAACGAGTAATCCACAATAAGTGCAGAGAACTGTAGAAAACACTGAAATGCTTTCGCGAGCATTAAATCCAAAGCAAGGTAGGCATCAGTTAGCACCGTTATTTTTCAAGAGACATACACCGATAATTGTTTTCACGCGCGCTGTGTCAAGGCAATACCAAGTGGTTAGCACAAATATAATGACGATGAAGACTAAGAATTACACACGCGCGCCTTACCCAGTAACTGTAGTGCACACCGCGCGGCGCGGATCAGTATAATGATACATAATGCCTCTCCCCGAACTCGACTGTGCGGTTCCCGCGCCGGCCGCAGTGGCGCCACTCTTCCCTCCGCCTCCGGCCGAGATGGAGCCGCAACCATTGGCTGCCGACTCCGTTCCCCATCGACTCAGCGTGACGTCCGGGCACGCCATTGGTGCACCAGAGACCATTATGGTGTCCGCGAGGCGTACCAGAATGCGACCGAGCCCCCTGACACCCTCAGAGGTGTTCTGGGCCTCTACCTGGATTATACACGCGGACACGCACTGCCGGGGATATCTAGGATCCTTGCTCTGCGGCAAGCTTACAGAAATTTTAGTGTTCGGGTTCCCGTCCTCTTCATACCCACCCACCCAACATACCCGATCAACCGCCATCCTTCAAACTCTCTTTCTCTCCCGCTCGCTCCCTTTCTCCCTCTCACTGTGCACTTGAATCCGGAAGCTGCGAAGAAACTGCGAGTACTACACAAGATGACGCTTTAAAGCTTCCACGGTGCATCCATATTATTTTGACGTTGACAGGCGTAATGAAATATTTCTTTCAGGAATTTCTCCACGAATCTGGGACTTTCTTCAACAAATGTCTGAAACTGCCGCACTCGGTGCATAGAGCTTCCTTTTATTTACGAGTCATTATATTTTTATTACTCTTAAACACTTGAACATATTTTATTCGCAGTCAATCATCTAAAATGACTGCAATTAATCATTATAATTCATTACTTAGGCTCTATTTTTTAAGCAGAAAAAATGTCATACCATATCTTTAAAAATGGCTAATTAAAGCATCTGATTATTTAAAGCCAAAAAATGTAAATATACCCAAAAGTAAAAACAAAAGTGAAAAAAATATAATATCCAAAAATGTAGATATAAACATCATTAAAAGCGGATTATATTCGTAAAACACCCTTGACAATATATTGAAAGAAATATTTCATTTGAACCAAAATATAATCTACTTTAATTGAAAATGAAAATACAAATTTCAATAACTTAATTTTAATATTTATTATTTGTTCCAAATAAAAAAATTACATTTGCTCCAAATAAAAATTAGTAATTGAAACGAATCCTTGAACCACATATTATTTAATTCTTATTAAAGAAGAAAAAAATATAAAAAAAACCTTATACACGAATATGTTCGTTAAAGGGCAATTATCAACTTGTTGATCTATTTGTTTGCATTGCTTCTATTATGATTTGGTTTTTCAATTTGACATGAGGTAAAAGCGTAGTCGATAATACGCACATGTACATACCAGTGGCTAGACTTGAGCAAACATTATTTATACAATGTTACTTATTTTTTTTATTAATACAAAATTCACTATTATCCTAATATTATCAGATTGCAACGAATTGATACCAAAAATGTGGATCAAATGAAAAATTGGTATAAACTTTTACGATCAATTTGATACATTTAGTATATGGGATGTTTAGAAAGATTTTTGAATATTTAAATATGAAATAAATTATTATTCTCATCTCACTTCTTTACAGTGAGTAAACGATTTAATTGATTTAAACATATTTTTTTTTAAATCAAACTTAAAATATCTTTGCTATACAAAAATATTCAAGTTTAATTCAAACATATTTTTTGGTTCATTTAAAGAAATAATATATTTAATTCAAACATAAGTTATGGTTGATTTTAAATTATTTATAATCAACTTTTAAGTTTGAATCAAACATAAAATTTTTAAACACAATTTTTGTTTAAATCAAAACAGAAAATATGTTTGAATTGAACATAATTATTTAAACAAATAATATTTTTGATTCAAAGCAGTAGATATTTTCTAAATATTGGGATTAAGCTTACAAACTAATTTCAACAAAACAAAATCTTATAATTATTTTTCTAATTGAAGTAAGTATCCCGTGTAGAAATTCAACCATGGCCCAAATAGGGGCCAGATCTTTTGATCATTGTGTAGGCCATAACATGGCAATTTCTACACGGGATGTTTTCTCAGTGTACAATTTACTATTTAATTGGTAAACGAGTTCGTACTTCTATATGATTGTATTAAAACTGTATTATAAATCATCGGTTTTAAAGAGTGCGTCCACATGGAAATGGAAATATGGGTAAAAGATGGGAAACTATGGAAAATTATGAGTAAAGAATTGTGAAATATGGTACTAAATTTAAAAATATATATAGCAAAGTATTAATGCTAATGAGCGAATCCCATATGGTTAAAGAATGTCGACAACAAACATTAATTTTTCATTAAATCAACTGAAATTAACGCGAAACCTTTAAATTTTTTATTTTTGAACAATGGGCAAAGTATGGGAGCGGAAAAAGACGTTTTTCCATTTTTAAAGTTTATTGTCAAAATTTTGAACAATGGGCAAAGTATGGCAAACTATGGAAAGAAGAAAAACTATTCTTTAAAATTTTTAAACCAAGGGCAAAGTTTGGCGAACCATATGGGATGAAATATCAATTATTTTTATGTTTTTAAACTATTAGACAATGTATGGCAAACTATGGAGAAAAAACTATTTTTATATTTCCAAACCATAGGCAAAGTATGGTGAACAATGTGAAGAAAAAAATGATACTACACGGAGAGAAATTTATAGTAGTGGGTAACATAATTGTGGTTAGGGTGACCATCTTTAATGCTACGTATACAGACAGCTATCTAGATAGTCACCGTTACCATCAATATCATCAGGAGTAACATCTTGGTAGTACGGGGTAGCATAACTATATTTTTTTTAGCATCTGTGATGGTTGGCAGTAGCATAATGATAGTATCGTGTAACATCATCTTTTTAACATCAAAATCTGACTATCCATTTCTCTCAGTGTACCATCGTTAAAAATAAAAAAAATTGGAAAGTTGTGTTTATATTTCAGTTGATTTAATGAAAAATTAATTTTTGTTGTCGCCATTCTTTAACCATGGGATTCGCTCATTTGCAATACTTTGTCATACTTTGTTTTAATTTAATATCCTTAAAAAAACTGTGTATATTACAAAAAGGATATGTTTGACAAAGTTTTCTAAAAAATCAGTATAGATGACAGTACAGTGTCGAAAATTTGTTTGGAAATAATAACATATATGTAAAAGTATACACGAATTACTTTTATAATTTGAAAACTTGCAATTATAAAGTTAAGTAGTTCACCCTTTTGTTTCCATAAGGTATATTATGTAACTATACTTAAACATAGCTTTCGGGTGTAAACAGGAAGTACTATTTTTCTCAGAATAAAATTAGAGATTGGAATATTTTAATTTTAATTTAAATATTAAAAATTTTTAACTGTAACATTAGCCTTTAGAAAAAGCTCTTTTGTCTCAAAGTTTTATATACTATATTTATAGGTAATTATTAAATGTTTTCATTGTTTATAATTATTAGTAAAAAAAATCATTATTGTTTAAATTTAAGTCTCATAATTAATATAATTACTATAATGAAAATAAATTGACTTTTTCCTAAAGGACACCTACAAATCATTTAAAATTGAAGCGAAAATAATAAATATTGTTTCTTTTATTCGTTTTTAAATACATTGGGTGAAATGGTGAAATTTATCCTGAAAATGAAAAAAGGAGTGAAAGAGGAAAAGCGAATAATGATGAACAAGAAAAGGAATCTTGCTACCTTCTATATATCCTTCTCTTTCTAATTTCGTATCCCCTCTCTGACATGACGTCAGTCAATGGCATTACTTATGTAATCGGCGTGGGTCAGTAAGATCGGTGCAAAATTAAAAAAATTATCTTTGCGCATCTCGTTCGACCACGTGCTTCTTAAATTCTCCTCGAGCAAGACTTTTAATTTCGACAAATAAAAGTTTAATTTTAATAAGGAGTGCGAAGTTTAATTCCGCGATGGTGTATTGAGTCGGAAATTAAATTTTTTTAATTAGCATTTCTGAAAATTGAAGAATTAGGGTTGTTCACAGCTCGGTTGCCTGCGAGGGCAGCAATTAAAGAAAGAGAAACAAGAATTTTTTTTTACTTTTGTACAATTGTCTATCTCTCTTATACTCAATAAGTTGCTGCCTGCTCAGGCAGTTGTATATTGTGATAGCATCATTGCATAAACGGGAATGTTTCTTAATACACAAAACCGCGATCGAAGAAAATTGTGATTCGACAGTACATTCAAAATTGATAAAATCGCGTGTGAATTTTTTGTAGACCAAAGATGACAATATACATGTGCAGTTCCACTGAATGCTTTAGAAAAGCTTCTCTGAATCCTAAAAAATTAAGTGGACGTTTTTGGAAATTATTGTGTCTAATTTCCAGTGTTGAGAAAAAATGTTAGAAAAATCTATGAAAATCTTTATGAGATAATTTAATGTATTTTTTGGTCCTAAAATATTAAATAATAATATTATCGCTTTTAATGATATATAGCAATGTATTTTGTGTACATATATATTCCCTCTTATTTTGACTTATTTTTATTTTCTTCACAGTTTTCTTAAAAGTATTAAATTGATTCCAAAGTGGATGAAATTGATAACAAAAATTTGGATCAACTTTTAATTTGATCCACATTTTTTATATAAAGTCATTGCAATTTGAAAGATTTAAATTAACAGCATTCTAGTCTTCTAAGAGAATAGATAGTTCGACTTTTGCATTTAAGGAGGATGAAAAAAGAATCAAATGTTTTTAAATTTCCTATATTTTTCATTTAAAAAACATTATTATAGTGAACCATACCTTCTCGAACATAGAGTGAAATAAGTAATGTGATTAGTAAATTAAAAATAATTTGTAGATTATGTATAATACATACTATATTTTTAAGAGGAAACATTATTACACGCATAGAAAGGGTTTGCTGTGGCAGCGAACATTTTGCTGCCACAGCAAACCTTGTTCGTTGAAATAGGGACAGCGAAAATGTTCGCTGTGAGATCAAACAAGTTCGCTATGACAGCAAACTCGCATAAATTTTTACTAATGTTTGCTGTCACAGCTAACA